TGACACAGCAGTGTGTGAGAAAGGAAAACAAAAGGGTCAATTTCCCAGAAACCCATGCAGCAAAGCAGCAGGCTTCTCAGAGAAACTAATCTCGGTAGAAAGGTGACTGACCATAGAAATAAAATTACCATGTCAGCCATATTGAGTATACCCATGAGTGTTCCAGTCAGATTGCCATGGTATGAGGTGCGTTATATCTTCTAGTAATTATATTTCTATGTGACTGACATAGCTGGCATTCCTAGAGAATGGACATCCCCATTCAAGTCAACGTTGCGTAATGGGTTGAACTGGCAGGTCATTCTATATTTTATGTAGCTAAAGAGGTGACTGACAGGCAGGCAGCCTGCAATGCAGAAAGAGAGAGAGAGGGAGAAAGAGGGTGATATATAAACGAATTGGCGAGGCCACTAGAACAGTCTGCAGCACCCGGCCTCACTCTACTAGAATCTGAAGTCGATTGTCTACTGTTTGCTGATGATCTGGTGCTTCTGTCACCAACCAAGGAGGGCCTACAGCAGCACCTAGATCTTCTGCACAGATTCTCCCATACCTGGGCCCTGACAGTAAATCTCAGTAAGACAAAGATATTGGTGTTCCAAAAAAGGTCCAGTTGCCAGGACCACCAATACAAATTCCATCTAGAGACCGTTGTCTTAGAGCACACAAAAAAACTACACATACCTCAGCCTAAACATCAGCGCCACAGGTAACTTCCACAAAGCTGTGAACGCTCTGAGAGACAAGGCAAGAAGGGCCTTCTATGCCATCAAAAGGAACATAAAATTCAACATACCAATTAGGATCTTGCTAAAAATAATTGAATCAGTTATAGAACCCATTGCCCTTTATGGTTGTGAGGTCTGGGGTCCGCTCACCAACCAATAATTCACAAAATGGGACAAACACCAAATTGAGACTCTGCATGCAGAATTATGCAAAAATATCCATAAAAATAACGTAAAACACCAAATAATGCATGCAGAATAGAATTAGACCGATACTCGCTAATTATCAAAATCCAGAAAAGAGCCATTAAATTCTACAACCACCTAAAAGGAAGTGATTCCCAAACCTTCCACAACAAAGCCATCACCTATAGAGAGATGAACCTGGAGAAGAGTCCCCTAAGCAAGCTGGTCCTGGGGCTCTGTTCACAAACACAAACAGACCCCACAGAGCCCCAGGACAGCAACACAATTAGACCCAACCAAATCATGAGAAAACAAAAAGATAATTACACATTGAAAATAATTAACAAAAAAACAGAGCAAACTACAATGGTATTTGGCCCTAAACAGAGAGTACACAGTGGCAGAATACCTGACCACTGTGACTGACCCAAACTTAAGGAAAGCTGTGATAATGTACAGACTATGAGCATAGCCTTGCTATTGAGAAAGGCCGCTGTAGGCAGACCTGGCTTTCAAGAGAAGACAGGCTATGTGCACACTGCCCACAAAATGAGGTGGAAACTGAGCTGCACTTCCTAACCTCCTGCCAAATGTATGACCATATTAGAGACACATATTTCCCTCAGATTACACAGACCCATAAAGAATTAGAAAACAAACCCAATTTTGATAAACTCCCTTATCTACTGGGTGAAATACCACAGTGTGCCATCACAGCAGCAAGATTTGTGAACTGTTGCCACAAGAAAAGGGCAACCAGTGAAGAACAAACACCACTGTAAATACAACCCATATTTATGTTGATTTATTTTGTACTTTAACTATTTGCACATAATATGATATTTGAAATGTCTTTATTATTTTGGAACTTTTGTGAGTGTAATGTTTACTGTTCATTTGGCTCTTTCCAGGTGTAACCAGTGCTTAATTTGAGCCACATCCTGCCGGAACAGGATCTGGCACATTTTTTGAAATGTTATTATGCGTTCCAGTACCTCAGAGCCCCCCAGGTCACCCCCCTCTCACGACCACAGAGCCCCCAGGTCACCCCCCCTCACGACCTCAGAGCCACCCAGGTCACCCCCCTCTCACGACCTCAGAGCCCCCCAGGTCACCCCCCTCTCACACTCACTTTTTGTTCCGGCACCTCCCGATTTACAAATGAAGCATCATGTTTAATCACAGGGATCGTTTGTCTTCCTGACACCTCTCTAATGCAGTGCTCTTCCACTCAGCTGGCCCAAGCCAAGTCCCTATTCAACTCACACACACACACACACACACAGCCCATCATTCCTTTCCTGCATGGTGGAGACTGTCTTTACTGATTGGAAAGCCACTGGGCCCTGGACCAGATAGTATCTGATTATCAGGACTGTGTTTGTGTTTGTGCAGGTGCTTGTGTGTGTTTGCATTGTGTTCACCATTACACCAGCAACATACATTACTGTGGGAGGGACCAGCTGGAGGAAAGGGAGGGGGAACAGCTGGAGGACAGGAAGAGGGAACAGCTGGAGGACAGATAGGGGGAACAGCTGGAGGACAGGGAGGGGGAACAGCTGGAGGACAGGGAGGGGGAACAGCTGGAGGACAGGGAGGGGGAACAGCTGGAGGAAAGGAAGGGGGAACAGCTGGAGGACAGGGAGGGGGAACAGCTGGAGGAAAGGGAGGGGGAACAGCTGGAGGAAAGGGAGGGTGAACAGCTGGAGGAAAGGGAGGGGGAACAGCTGGAGGAAAGGGAGGGGGAACATCTGGAGGAAAGGGAGGGGGAACAGCTGGAGGACAGGGAGGGGTGTCAGCTGCAGGAAAGGGGGGGAACAGCTGGAGGAAAGGGAGGGGGAACAGCTGGAGGAAAGGAAGGGGGAACAGCTGGAGGACAGGGAGGGGGAACAGCTGGAGGAAAGGGAGGGAACAGCTGGAGGAAAGGGAGGGGGAACGGCTGGAGGATAGGGAGGGGGAACGGCTGGAGGAAATGGAGGGGGAACGGCTGGAGGAAAGAGAGGGGGAACGGCTGGAGGACAGGGAGGGGAATGGCTGGAGGAAAGGGAGGGGGAACGGCTGGAGGAAAGAGAGGGGGAACAGCTGGAGGACAGGGAGGGGGAACAGCTGGAGGACAGGGAGGGGGAACGGCTGGAGGAAAGAGAGGGGGTACAGCTGGAGGACAGGGAGGGGGAACGGCTGGAGGACAGGAAGGGGGAACAGCTGGAGGACAGGGAGGGGGAACAGCTGGAGGACAGGAAGGGGGAACAGCTGGAGGAAAGGAAGAGGGGAGTGAAAGAGAGGGACACACATATAAACACACCCTGTCACTCTGACACACACAAGGCCATTGGGGCGTGAACCTGTTCAGTGCTACTGTAAGGTTCTCCGACCATAACTTACCTCCCTGGCTGGGCTCAAGGCTGCTCCAGGTTTTACTACCTGTCTTAGGTTGTGTTCCAAATTATTCCCTTTATAGTGCACTACATTTGACCAGGGCCCAGGGGAATAGGGTGCCATTTGGGACACATCACACTTACTGATTGATGCTCTGATCTCAGACCAAGTATAAAGTAAATCAGAAGTGGATCCTGGTGTGTCAAGTCAACAGTGACTCTTCTTTCTCAGGAGGAAAATGTATCTGTGGTAGATTTAACTGCAGTTGACATACTTCTAGTTTCACTATGAATATATCCAGATTGAATTCAAAGTGAAAGAATTCAACCATTACCCTAACTATATATTAGCTTCATGTCCACATCCCGGTTCAACCCTAACAATCCCCTTCCTCCTTCTACACTATCCGATCCAATAACATGTAAGCAGTGGGACTGCCCCGCTCCTTAAAAAACCTACTAGGTGGTATATATTGTAATGTGTCCTCTCCACTTTTCCCTGTGCAGATCGTAGCGGCCATCTTTGCCATCGCTGGCATTGTGATGATGACGTACGCTGACGGTTTCCACAGCCACTCTGTCATGGGAATCACCTTTGTTGTGGCCTCCGCTTCAATGTCTGCACTCTACAAGGTAGGCTATGAACAAACACGCACACACACATTCACACGCACGCCCGCACGAACACACACACATTCACACGCACGCCCGCACGAACACACACACACACACACACACATTCACACGCACGCCGGCACGAACACACACACACACACACACACATTCACACGCACGCCCGCACGAACACACACACACACACACACACACACACAGGACGCATTTGTTTGCTTAACTGTTAGACATGGTATAGCCTTCTCTTAAAAGTCGTTTTTATCATATGAAGGACAACATCAAAGGAACACCTCATCCTTTGTGGTTGGAAGGGAGTGTGTCAGTTCTGACACCTTTTATGTATCTCCATTTTTCTTTTCATTCACCTATCTCCTTCAGTGAGATGAAGATGTACTCTAAACGTTTCAAAGAATGAATCCCCCAAACATCGTCCTTTATGAGATACAGATTAAGAGCAACGTTAGGTCTGATGAAAGGATTCTTTGTGTATACAGGGACAGGCTCTCCAGGCTCCTTGTATTTGTTCCTTATATAATCAAGTGACAGGAGACTAGATTAGATATTATGAAATACTATGAAGCATTCTAAAACATCTGGGCTGGGCTAAAAGGGCCGCAATTGTGGTATCTAGTTTGGTGTTTAATTTGATAGACCTGCAGTACTTGATGTTCAGACTGTGACAGGCAGATCATTATAGTTTGAACAGACAGATGGATGGATGTGTGGGTATGTAGTTTGGTGTTTAATTTGTGCATTGATAGGCCTCCAGAACCTGACATTCAGAGTCAGTATGATGGTCAAATTGATAGCCAGGTTGGACAGGCAGACAGACAGACAGATAGATTGATGGGTATATACACTGTATCGGCGTTTCCCAAGGGGTGCACGTTTTGGTTTTTGCCCTAGTACTACACAGCTGATTCAAATAATGAACTCATCATCAAGCTTTGATTATTTGAATCAGCTGTGTAGTGCTAGGGCAACAACCAAAATGTGCACCCCTTAGGGTCCCCAGATATATATAATGACTGCCTGTGGAGGACAGACAGACACAAAGAGGGGTTGATGGGTAATAAATATGGCTGCTCTGTGGTGTCTCCTGTTCTATAATATGGCTGCTCTGTGGTGTCTCCTGTTCTATAATATGGCTGCTCTGTGGTGTCTCCTGTTCTATAATATGGCTGCTCTGTGGTGCCTCCTGTTCTATAATATGGCTGTTCTGTGGTGTCTCCTGTTCTATAATATGGCTGCTCTGTGGTGTCTCCTGTTCTATAATATGGCTGCTCTGTGGTGTCTCCTGTTCTATAATATGGCTGGTCTGTGGTGTCTCCTGTTCTATAATATGGCTGCTCTGTGGTGTCTCCTGTTCTATAATATGGCTGTTCTGTGGTGTCTCCTGTTCTATAATATGGCTGCTCTGTGGTGTCTCCTGTTCTATAATACGGCTGGTCTGTGGTGTCTCCTGTTCTATAATATGGCTGCTCTGTGGTGCCTCCTGTTCTATAATATGGCTGCTCTGTGGTGTCTCCTGTTCTATAATATGGCTGCTCTGTGGTGTCTCCTGTTCTATAATATGGCTGCTCTGTGGTGCCTCCTGTTCTATAATATGGCTGTTCTGTGGTGTCTCCTGTTCTATAATATGGCTGGTCTGTGGTGTCTCCTGTTCTATAATATGTCTGGTCTGTGGTGTCTCCTGTTCTATAATATGGCTGTTCTGTGGTGTCTCCTGTTCTATAATATGGCTGGTCTGTGGTGTCTCCTGTTCTATAATATGGCTGCTCTGTGGTGTCTCCTGTTCTATAATATGGCTGCTCTGTGGTGTCTCCTGTTCTATAATATGGCTGCTTTGTGGTGTCTCCTGTTCTATAATATGGCTGTTCTGTGGTGTCTCCTGTTCTATAATATGGCTGGTCTGTGGTGTCTCCTGTTCTATAATATGGCTGTTCTGTGGTGTCTCCTGTTCTATAATATGGCTGGTCTGTGGTGTCTCCTGTTCTATAATATGGCTGCTCTGTGGTGTCTCCTGTTCTATAATATGGCTGCTCTGTGGTGTCTCCTGTTCTATAATATGGCTGCTTTGTGGTGTCTCCTGTTCTATAATATGGCTGTTCTGTGGTGTCTCCTGTTCTATAATATGGCTGTTCTGTGGTGTTTCCTGTTCTATAATATGGCTGGTCTGTGGTGTCTCCTGTTCTATAATATGGCTGCTCTGTGGTGTCTCCTGTTCTATAATATGGCTGCTTTGTGGTGTCTCCTGCCCTGCTGTTACAATGGCCTAATGTGGTCAATAGACAGCGGTGGCAGAGTGCCAGGCCAGAGAGATGGTTGGCAGGTACTCCCTCTCTCTTTGGTCTGCCCGCATGTTCTCGTTAAGGGGTGGAAAGGGGGGTGGATTTATGAGGTGCCTACTGTACGTGATAAATCCACTCCCTCCCTCCTCTATCTCTTTCCCTGGATCACGGTCTCTCTCTCTCTCTCTCTCTCTCTCTCTCTCTCTCTCTCTCTCTCTCTCTCTCTCTCTCTCTCTCTCTCTGTCTCTCCACAGGTGCTTTTTAAAATGGTCCTGGGCAGTGCCAAGTTTGGGGAGGCAGCTCTCTTTCTGACGATCGTCGGGGGCGCTAATTTTGTGTTCATCAGCTTTGTGCCAGTCATCCTGTACTTCACCCATGTGGAATACTTTGGTTCTCCTGAGGACATCCCCTGGTTATACCTCTGTGGGGTAGCAGGCCTGCTCTTTGGTAAGCACTGACTTCTGTAGATTAGTTTCAGTGTAGATACTGATGCAAAACTGCAACCAGTGTGGATACTGATGCAACCCCCCCCCCTTCCCGCCCACCCAAATTAATTTAGTTAATAAGCTGCATTGAAAAGTTGCCTTTTACTTGCTGACTAGTTCCTCTTTTTGACTGTGAGTAAAATAGTTGTAGCTGCTTAGTAAAGTTTGACTTGACTTTTCTCCTCCACAGCTTTCAATATCCTGGTGAACTTTGGCATAGCCATCACTTACCCCACATTAATCTCTCTGGGCATCGTCCTGAGTGTCCCTGTCAACGCCAGTAAGTCTCTGCTCCTTCTCCTCCAACTCTACTGTGTCCTTTTCTCCAGATCTTTATCCCATCCAGTGAAACAACTTCAACTCAGGCCGATTCAATTATAGGCGTTGCAGTTTTTAAAAACAATGTTACTGCGTTCGCAGAGATCCCATTCACGGTAAATGCTGCATATGTCGGCTCCAATCGGAAATCTACTTTAAAAGCCGCAATGCCTATAATCCCGGCCTCAGAAGACTTCTCTTTCACTGGTTAACTTTAGTATTTACAACAGTTTTGCATGTACTGAAAATATTGCATTCACATGTAATAATAGCTATCAGTGAATTGACAGACTTAGTCTTTGTTAGTTATATAATAGGGGAGAGTGGGGTAAGTTGAGCCATTTTCTACATTCATCATCACTCGGTCAAGGGAAATATAGTATTATTTCAAACAAAGATGTCTACATATATTTCAGGATGCTGTGTATCCCTGGAAATAATCAGAATTCATGTAAACATTACAGTTTTGAAAACATAGCTTGTACAAAAAAAAGTGATCTCTTGGCACAATTTACCCCGGGTGAAACAAGGGTGACTCAACTTCCCCCTTTGACTCAACTTCCCCCACTCTCCCCTAGTGTTGATTCACATTGTTGTGTTGTGTTGTGGACCTGTTTGTGTTACTGTTATATCAGTTCTGTCAGCGTTATGTTATGAAGATCATGGGTTAACTTTTAGGTAATATAACCCCTTCTTATGTTGTGTTCCAGTGGTTGACCTGTACACGTGTGAGATCCACTTCAACGCAGTGCGTCTTATCGCTGTGTTTATCATCTGCCTGGGGTTCCTGATGTTGCTACTTCCAGAGGACTGGGACCAGTGCTTCATCCAGCTCCATGCTAAGCTGCAGAGTAAACGGGAGGAACCAGCTGAGGTGGAGTCAGGGCCCGGGTCCAGCCTCAACTGGAGCAGGAGAGCTAGGACCTCCACGACTACCTTTACGCACTGACCACCGTTAAATGTGGAGGGATGGCTGGATGGACGGACGCACACATTGTAAACAGATGGACAGAGGCATGGATGAATGAACAGATGGACAGAGGCATGGATGAATGAACAGATGGACAGAGGCATGGATGAATGAACAGATGGACAGATACTGACACACATACAGTGTACACGCACACACACACACACATAGACATTCCACCTTGGACACTTGATTGCCATGATGACCTGCATGGTCGACCTCTGCCATCAGCCCTCTATTTCACTTTCCCTCTCACTAGTTTCTCCCTGGAAACCTTTCCGTTGGTCTATCAGTCCATCTGGGGCTGCTCAAGACCCTTTCATTTCACTGCAAAAAGCACTGATATCAATGTTTGTTCATTTGTTCATTTCATAATCAACAAACAATTATTTCCTACTTGACCTCCACCATTTTAGAAGTGATCAGAGTTGGTGCATGGGCTCACGTTGATCATGTTCATTTAGCAATACCTCTAAATCATTCCATTGGACTGAGACATTTATTTGCACACGCCTGGGAAGAGTTGCGAACTTGCCTTTGCTTTTCAAAAGACAAGGATAGATTGACAGTTACATTTTCTGTCAGTTTAACAAACTGATGATGGACTTACTGGCTTTAACATCATGTTACCATCAACCTTCAAGATCCAAAGGAGAAGAAAGCCTTACCAGGAGAGACTGCCTGAGTTCTAGTGGCCATGTCCCTGGTGTCCCTCAGGTGTCAACTTAATGGCAAATACCTCCTTTTAGTGCACTGTAGATCTCCACGGACCAATTCCAAACAGACCCTAGCCCCTAAACCCTAGCCCCTAAACCCTAGTCCCTAAACCCTAGTCCCTAAACCCTAGCCCCTAAACCCTAGCCCCTACTACCTCAGCAGTTCATGTAGATCTGAAAGGATTAGATAGGTATAATCAGTAAGGTCATGGTTCCATATTGTCCTCTATTAGATAGGTATAATCAGTAAGGTCATGGTTCCATATTGTCCTCTATTAGATAGGTATAATCAGTAAGGTCATGGTTCCATATTGTCCTCTATTAGATAGGTATAATCAGTAAGGTAATGGTTCCATATTGTCCTCTATTAGATAGGTATAATCAGGAAGGTCATGGTTCCATATTGTCCTCTATTAGATAGGTATAATCAGTAAGGTAATGGTTACATATTGTCCTCAGAATTTCCACCATATTGCTTACACCTTTTCAATTCTCTTACATCTCTACAACTGCATAGGGGGTAGGGGGCGATTTGGGATTTGACGTTAATTCACACTTTTGATGCCCTCCAGCTCAGGAGCCTGTAGATGTTAGGGTGTGAAATAATCTGTCTGGGCGTTTCACTATCAAATTGAGCCATGGAATGTCTCGCTGTCCCTCCAGCAAATGAGAAGAGCCAGAGCCATCTACAGCCATACTGATTGGCCACCTGCTGTGATACACTTCCCTCTTAGGTCAGATCTAGAGCTCCAGCTGATTCCAGACTGACACCCTCAGATCCAGAGCTCCTGCTGATTCCAGGGCTGACACCCTCAGATCCAGAGCTCCTGCTGATTCCAGGGCTGACACCCTCAGATCCAGAGCTCCTGCTGGTTCCAGGGCTGACACCCTCAGATCCAGAGCTCCTGCTGGTTCCAGGGCTGACACCCTCAGATCCAGAGCTCCTGCTGGTTCCAGGGCTGACACCCTCAGATCCAGAGCTCCTGCTGGTTCCAGGGTTGACGCCCACTGCTCAGTCCCATGGCTTCAGTCAAGACATGCCAGACCAGCCAAAATTAACCAAGCAGCCATATTTACATTATTTCAACGTCATTTCAACCTCCTTAGCTACCACTGAGCCTCTGCTTGGATACCTGTCGGTACATTTCCCACCTTTAAAGTCACCTTGTCATGAGGCAGACCTACTATAGTGGTATACTCTGTCAGTTAGCCAGTGTTGCAGCGACACTAGCCTGGCTTCCAGTCTGTTTATGCCCTCTTGCCAACTCCTTATAGAATTGTCATGGCTTGGGAGTTGGAAAGAGCACAACCAGATCTGGGATCAGGCTAATGACACACAAAGACATATCAAACTGCAAGTGATTATCTGTAAGGGTGTTGTCTCCTGTGCAAACCTTATCCCAAGATGCACAGCCAGGGGTGGGTAGATATTGCTACTCTGTCTGTGGCATTTTGGTGGAGGCCCCATTAAAGAAGTCCCATTGAGGTCATAGGGAGATCTGCTACGGCATTTGTTGGCAGTGGTGGGATCCAGCTTTTTCTTAAAGATACTGTTTTTGTTTTCCATTGATCACGTTTCTAAGGCAAGTTAACCACTGTGAGGACTCTTCAGGGTTACTGATGAGGTAACGAACCAAGCAACACGGATGACAATGTAGGCTGGGCTTCAAACAGGAAGTGGGCGGAACCTCTGCCTTGTTGTTGCGAATGTATACATGACCAACCAACCAATCACCAACACTCACCATGTGCTATCTATCTTTTCTATTTTTACGGAGGGAGGCACCATTAGACTGGACATACCACAGCCTCACACTACAACAACAACAACCATTCTTCTTGCACTCATCCTTCTTGAACAAACTCTTTGGTGCATCTTATTTTTAAAAAATGGACATGTTTTTCTATTTCTGCGTTTAGTTTGACTACTGATGTGAAGGGACAGTGAGTGACTGACATCTACAGAACAAGCATGCAGAGATGACCAGATATAGCTGAGCAGTCCTGTCCATTCACTTCACTGCCTTTTCTTTTTGTTTTGCAATAGAGTACAGGGTTGGGCTCAGTTCCATTTCAATTCAGTCAATTCTGGAAGTAAAATGAAATTCCAAATTCCAATTCTCCTCATTGAAAAGCATTGAGGAACATTGGAATTGAAGTTTGGAATTGGAGTTTCAGTCCTAAATTGGCTGAATTGTAATGGAACTGAGCCCAATCCTGAATAGAAGTACTACATCAGCACTGTTATCTCCCATTGTCATTCTTTATAATGACAATATAATAATCATATTGTATTCCTCTGGAATTATTGCTAGACATAACTGTAAACCTTTGTAAGGAATGAAGCTGACTTTTACACTGAAATAATAAATGCAACATATGATTACAGCGTGGTTTAATTAAATTAAATTATGAGGTGATTTGATAGATCAGCTAGTTTGCTGTCTTCAAGAAATGTAATCACATGTACTATATAAAAACATTATTTTTGAATACATTTATTTGTTTACTGGATTAGTATAAAATATGTATCTCACGCTGAAGTTTTTTTTTTTTTTTGCATTTGCAATTGTGTGTCTAAGAATGTGTTGAATTGTCCCTATATACCGGAAATGTGACAAGGAAAAAACTAAACAAAGGCACTAGACAGTGTAACAGATTTAATTTACAAAGGCACTAGACAGTGTAACAGATTTAATTGACAAAGGAACTAGACAGTGTAACAGATTTAATTGACAAAGGAACTAGACAGTGTAACAGATTTAATTTACAAAGGAACTAGACATTCCCATAGATTTAATTTACCAATAATAAGAAGGAAACGGCTTGCTGTATCTACAGTACAGTATTTTATCTCTTGATTTTAACATAGCTACAGTCACAACGGATGTCACTAACCTCACTCATAGGGTCAACTTGGCCTTGCAGCAATTCAGACTAGTGCGTTAAAATCATCCAAAATGTTTTGGGCAGAAAGCACTGACCCAGTCTGTCACACAGGCACTCTCAGCCTGTTGTCCCTCCAGTCAATATTTCAGCTACATACTCTTCATAGAATAATCATTTGTCTTCACATCATTACAGATCAGATGTTTGTGGATCAACCCAGTTCTGTTATGAATTAAAGGTGTGAAATGCCTAGAAGACCTCTTTATTGTCCATTGTCACCAGGGTCAATCCCAGTCAATTCAAATTAAACCAAATTCCAATTCCAAATGTTCCTAATTGAAAAGCATTGAAAAGAATTAGAATTTCAGTGTACTTCCTGAATTGACTGGAATTTAAATGGAATTGACCCCAACCCTGATTGTCACAGGGAAACGGAAATTAGGCCTAGATAAAGCGTTAACCGGCGATAGCAGACACCCGCATAGCGGATGTTTTGGCGGTGGAACTGCATTGGAGCTGTCAAATAGGTGAGCAGCTGCTTGTCTAGAAGCCACACCAGCCCCACTCACGTTAGAAGTTCAGAAAGAGAAAGTTTAGGCTATTCAGAAATAATTATGTTCAAATTGATAAAACATTAAATAAAATCATGAAGATTTCTATCATCCTAATGAAGGTGTAGATTACATCTCATATTCCAGTGTTCCAACTGGTTAACAGTAAACAAGTCTGCATGGGATTTCTGTTAATCAGACTCCGTGTCTGCTTTAGGTGTAATGCCGGGAGCCACTTGTGGATTTGAAAGTTCTAACGCAGTTCCACCTCCAACACCATCAAAACAACTGCTATGCTGATGTTGGCTAAAGTGGATCTGATTGAATAGAGCCCTTAGTCTTCTGTTTTACCCCATACCCTCTGAGAATGGAGCGCAGGGTAAGTCATAGTACAGCACCCCTGGAGGGGTTAAGTGCCTTGCTCAAGGGCACAACAGCAGGTCGATGGTTCATACAGATCTTAATCTGTTCTGACTAGCATACATCATGCTCTACCCTCAATGTGATCTGTCCATAGAAGAAGGTTGCCTGTCTGTCTGTGGTGGCTGCAGAGAACGGCAGGCTGCTGCCCTCTGGTGTCCTGGTGGGGACCTGCAGGCACTCCAACCTTCTGTTTGAACTCCTCTCCCCACCTCCTCCTACTGAGTCCTGCCACAGGGAGCAGGAGGAGGAGTATCCAGAGGAGGTGGAGAAAGAGGTGGTGCTACCGGGGCGGAACACACCACACACACGCTCCCTGGAGCTGTCCGCAAAGTTGGAGTCGACCGTGAAGACCGAAGAGCAGTAGGCCCGTCTCAGCCCGTCTCCTGCAAGTGGGTTGTGGATGTCAGACCCAGGTCCAGGACATACTAGGCCAGGATGGGGGTGGGGACACTGGGGGTGGGGATGGAGGGAAGTCAGAGTACATGGGTCACAAGGTTCACTGCTCCTCCCCTCTTCTCTGTCTCCCTCCCCCCTGGTCTTGCCTCCCCCCCTCCCCACCACGTTCCCCCCCAGGCGCGCCCTGATCTTCTGCTTCAGGCACCGCAGAGCCCCCTGGAACCGCTGACTGAGCAGAGCATACAGCAGAGGATTGATGTCTGAGTTCAACAGAACCAGCCAATAAGAGAAGGTGACGGCCGAGGGCGGGACTAAGGAGGACTGACACGCTAGGGCGGTCTCCGTGGCCTGGACTAGCGCGACGCCTATATATGGAGTCCAACACAGGAAGAAGGCAGAGATAACCAGGAAGAGACGTACAACCCCGTGGTGATGGAGGTGATGGGAGTTGGAGTTCTGGTGGGGCGGATGGGAGTGGCCATGGGGGGCGTGTTGGGTCAGGAAGGAGAAGGGTCTCCGGGATGCAGCATTGGAGCTGGAGGTAGAGCCTGGGTGGCTGGAGGTCTGTGGAGCTTCAGCAGTAGGGTCTGACCCTGAAGGAACCCCGTCCCCAACCTCTCCATGGGTCTCCGATACAAACCGCCCACTCAGATGATACACCAGCCTGGCGGTGGAAGGACCATGGGCACCCAGACACCTCGGACTAGTCCGCTCAGACGTACTCTTGGTCGGAAAGGAGGAGCTCGACATCCCACTGTTTCTCTGGAGCTGGTCCTCCAGGTTGTGGATCCTCCTGGCATGGCTCCGCGCTACACGGACAATGATGACGTAACAGAAGAGGATGACTGCAGCAGGTATGAGGAAGGACAGGGCAGCCATGAAGGACGTGTAGCTGGGACTGCTCTTCCAGTTCACCGCACAGCTGAAATTGAAATAATAGTACGTGGTGAGAGTTTACATTACAGGGACCTTATTACTGTGTAATATGTCCTGGAAGTACTGTACAGTGTAACAAGTATTGTAATTTCTCACTGTTGCACAACACTGTAAGAATGAGTCATAGCAATTATTGATACACTGTACTTACAGGAAATAGTACACATTAATAAGGGCACTGCATGCTTTCATCCAAAGCAAACGTACATTTTAGTGCATACATCGTTAGTATATGTGACCCCAGCGGGAATCGAACCCACACCAACCTGTACATGGGAGCCACGTAGGACACAGTGCTCCAGCCGAGCAGAGGAGGACAGCTGGTCACCAGGGCTTGGAGCCAGATCCACAGTACCACAGCACACTTCCTCCACAGGGTGCAGTGGGAACTGAAATAATAATACAAAGAACTAGAAAAGTTACGTTTTCTGAAGGAAATGTCTGTACTTGATTGAACTGTTTCTAATCTAGATGTATAGTCTATAATGTGATGTGGTAGGTTTAGATCTGTTTGGTCTAGATCTTCAGTTGGTAGTACAGTGCCTTCAGAAAGTGTTCACACTGTATCAATTGTCTGAATCTATTCTAGTTGGTTCAAATGTACAGTGGGGGAAAAAAGTATTTAGTCAGCCACCAATTGTGCAAGTTCTCCCACTTAAAAAGATGAGAGAGGCCTGTAATTTTCATCATAGGTACACGTCAACTATGACAGACAAATTGAGAAAAAAAAATTCCAGAAAATCACATTGTAGGATTTTTTATGAATTTATTTGCAAATTATGGTGGAAAATAAGTATTTGGTCACCTACAAACAAGCAAGATTTCTGGCTCTCACAGACCTGTAACTTCTTCTTTAAGAGGCTCCTCTGTCCTCCACTCGTTACCTGTATTAATGGCACCTGTTTGAACTTGTTATCAGTATAAAAGACACCTGTCCACAACCTCAAACAGTCACACTCCAAACTCCACTATGGCCAAGACCAAAGAGCTGTCAAAGGACACCAGAAACAAAATTGTAGACCTGCACCAGGCTGGGAAGACTGAATCTGCAATAGGTAAGCAGCTTGGTTTGAAGAAATCAACTGTGGGAGCAATTATTAGGAAATGGAAGACATACAAGACCACTGATAATCTCCCTCAATCTGGGGCTCCACGCAAGATCTCACCCCGTGGGGTCAAAATGATCACAAGAACGGTGAGCAAAAATCCCAGAACCACACGGGGGGACCTAGTGAATGACCTGCAGAAAGCTGGGACCAAAGTAACAAAGCCTACCATCAGTAACACACTACGCTGCCAGGGACTCAAATCCTGCAGTTCCAGACGTGTCCCCCTGCTTAAGCCAGTACATGTCCAGGCCCGTCTGAAGTTTGCTAGAGTGCATTTGGATGATCCAGAAGAGGATTGGGAGAATGTCATATGGTCAGATGAAACCAAAATAGAACTTTTTGGTAAAAACTCAACTCGTCGTGTTTGGAGGACAAAGAATGCTGAGTTGCATCCAAAGAACACCATACCTACTGTGAAGCATGGGGGTGGAAACATAATGTTTTGGGGCTGTTTTTCTGCAGGACGACTGATCCGTGTAAAGGAAAAAATGAATGGGGCCATGTATCGTGAGATTTTGAGTGAAAACCTCCTTCCATCAGCAAGAGCATTGAAGATGAAACGTGGCTGGGTCTTTCAGCATGACAATGATCCCAAACACACCGCCCGGGCAACGAAGGAGTGGCTTCGTAAGAAGCATTTCAAGGTCCTGGAGTGGCCTAGACAGTCTCCAGATCTCAACCCCTTAGAAAATCTTTGGAGGGAGTTGAAAGTCTGTGTTGCCCAGCGACAGCCCCAAAACATCACTGCTCTAGAGGAGATCTGCATGGAGGAATGGGCCAAAATACCAGCAACAATGTGTGAAAACCTTGTGAAGACTTACAGAAAACGTTTGACCTGTGTCATTGCCAACAAAGGGTATATAACAAAGTATTGAGAATATTTTGTTATTGACCAAATACTTATTTTCCACCATAATTTGCAAATAAATTCATTAAAAATCCTCCAATGTGATTTTCTGGATATTTTTTTCTCATTTTGTCTGTCATAGTTGACGTGTACCTATGATGAAAATTACAGGCCTCTCTCATCTTTTTAAGTGGGAGAACTTGCACAATTGGTGGCTGACTAAATACTTTTTTCCCCCACTGTATAGTCTTGTAGTTGGTCAGGATCATTGAATGACCTGTAGCGCAGGCAGTCCATGATAGAGTGGTAGCGGTCCAGGGCGATGGCTGCCAGGGTCAGGACTGAGGCAGTACAGTAGACTGAGGAGGTGTACCCCACATACAGACACAGGTCCTAGCAGACAGAAGGTAGGGAGAAAGAGATGAACCAGTCCAGTCACTGTTATGGGACACATTTCTCACACAAAGATGATCAAATAAAGGTTTGAAAGACACACTAGTGTTATGGCAGGGGCACTCACTGACAACCCTGCTCCTGGAGAGCTACTTGCCTGACAACCCTGCTGCTGGAGAGCTACCCGCCTGACAACCCTGCTCCTGGAGAGCTACCCGCCTGACAACCCTGCTCCTGGAGAGCTACCCGCCCGACAACCCTGCTCCTGGAGAGCTACCCGCCTGACAACCCTGCTCCTGGAGAGCTACCCGCCTGACAACCCTGCTCCTGGAGAGCTACCCGCCTGACAACCCTGCTCCTGGAGAGCTACCCGCCTGACAACCCTGCTCCTGGAGAGCTACCCGCCTGACAACCCTGCTCCTGGAGAGCTACCCGCCTGACAACCCTGCTCCTGGAAAGCTACCCGCCTGACAACCCTGCTCCTGGAGAGCTACCCGCCTGACAACCCTGCTCCTGGAGAGCTACCCGCCTGACAACCCTGCTCCTGGAGAGCTACCCGCCTGACAACCCTGCTCCTGGAGAGCTACCCGCCTGCATACCCAGTAGCTCTCCATTAGGAGGGTTGCCACCCCTGGGTTATGGTACACTGCGAGTTAAAACACTACAGATGAACTATATGACGGCTTAGAGGCACTATAACAGCAATGACACACACACTCACACACACACATAGATGAATAGAAGCCCCGGGTCAGACTTACAGTCCAGTCGACCCATCCACACACATAGATGAATAGAAGCCCCAGGTCAGACTTACAGTACAGTTGACCCATCCACACACATAGATGAATAGAAGCCCCAGGTCAGACTTACAGTCCAGTCGACCCATCCACACACATAGATGAATAGAAGCCCCAGGTCAGACTTACAGTACAGTCGACCCATCCGTTGTTCATGATGGAGAGCGCTATGAAGGGCATGACCCCAACCCCGACCAACAGGTCACTGATGGCCAGGTTCATAATGAGCACTGATGTCACGCAGTGGAAGGTCTTGGTGGCTGCCACTATCACAATCACCAGGATGTTACCTACAGACACACATCATATGACAGCATTAGTCACATGGATTTATCCTTTCCATTAAAGGGGCAATCTGCAGTTGCTACAGCCATTTTTGGATGTATAAATTAACAGTGTGGACTCGAGTCACATGACTTGGACTCGAATCTGACTCCAGTCAGAAATTTGACTTGAGGCTAGACTTGACATAAAATAAAATAATTTGAGACTTGACTTGGGCTTGGAGCCTCAAGACTTGGGACTCGAGTTGAGACTGATGCCTTGAAATTATCTGGCCAGGTTTTGTAACGTTTTGTCACTTCTTTTGTGGCACAGAGTCTCGGTGGATTATTCTCCACGCAGACAGACACAATAGCTTGCAAAAAAACGTGCAACAGATTGCTAGTGAAACACACACATGGCCCTCTGATTGGACCAGCAAACTGTCAGTCAACACAGGTCGGGTGAGCTAGTGGTTCTCAAAGTGGCGATCGGTCGCGAGAAGGTTTTTGGTGGTCAGAGTGTGAAACTGAATGGGGGGAAAAACATTTTTCATACAAATTGTATGTCCCGAGTGGCGCAGTGGTCTAAGGCACTGCATCGCAGTGCTAGCTGTGCCACTAGAGATCCTGGTTCGAGTCCAGGCTCTGTCGCGACCGGGAGACCAATGGGCGGAGCACAATTCGTCCAAAGTAGGGGAGGGTTTGGCCGGCAGGGATGTGGGTTCGTTTCCCACGGGGGGCCAGTATAAAAATAATAAAATGTATGCATTCACTAACTGTAAATCGCTCTGGATAAGAGCGTCTGCTAATGACAAAAATGTATAGCCTTGTATAGGTATAGCCTACCATCTGTATGTTTTATATGTATACCTAAGCCTATTCGATCTGGTCACCAATATAGGCCTATGGATTTACACCAAATTCCTTTCTCAAAAACATCTAATATGTGCTTCAGAACCAAAAAGTTGTGCGTGTTGACTGTTGACCAATGACCAGTCAGCAGCATTGGCGCGCAAAGGTGGCTGCACATATCCAGGTAAGTGACCAAAAATCACTTGTTTCATCTTCTCCGGTTTTGCCTGGTAAAAACAGAGTATCCTACGTTTATATTATCCATATACAGTTCAGCAATCTGTTACGGACGCATCTTTGCCAGAACAATAGGCTACCTGGCAATTTCATATTTCAGATAGGCCTAGTTTGGGTGAGTTAATTAGGCTATATATGTAACCGGTGTGAAATGGCTAGCTAGTTAGCGGTGCGCGCTAGTAGCGTTTCAATCGGTGACGTCACACGCTCTGAGACCTAGAAGTAGTTGTTTCCCTTGCGCAGCAAGGGCCGCGGCTTTTGTGGAGCGACGGGTAACGGCGCTTCGAGGGTGACTGTTGTCGATGTGTGCAGAGGGTCCCTGGTTCGGGGCGAGGAGAGGGACGGAAGCAAAACTGTTACATATACAGTACATCAGTTCTGCGTACTGGCTATATGTCTTAAGATAGCTGTAACATCGCACTGCCTTTATGGGATGAATATGTAACATAGGCTCGCGAAGTAATTACGATATTTGTGAGGAAGGAAAATGTTAGACAGACAGACCCTGCTTTCCGACCTCCACTTCATATAGCGAATGCTGAACCTCCGCTGCATACAGTTGAGAAGTGACATGATATCCCTAGTTGATATTGACTGACATGAATGACTTTCAGCTCAAAATGCAGTTGTGAAACGCAGTTTATTTCTGTGTCTTGCGTTTTGAAAATGCATAACCTCTCATGGCTGTATGAATTCTTATTTCTATGGCAATGACAGGCTCACACATTTGCGCAGAGATTGTGCTCGCGAGTGAGTGAGTGCGCGAGAGTTCGCGAGCGTTGAACCGCTCCTTTTTGGCGGTCAAAGGGCCACAAAGTTTCAGAAACAATGATCTAGCGAACAGATTGCTGATTTGCTGTACAGCTATAGGATCGGGTGCCGGCAAACGTCAAATTGTAGAGAGAGAATTGCCATAAATAAATATGCAGCTCCAAAAGAATATGAACTGTTTACTTTGCAAGCTCACCAACAATGGGCCATCAAGCAACACAATTACTAGCATAGGCCTACTGGTCTTTTGGTATGTCGAAATTGCTTTACTTATGAAGCTTGCATTTGGAATTTGTTGTTCAAATTCATTATTACATAATCAAAATGTGTTGTAGACAAAATAATGAAAAGGGCAGTGTGGTAGCCTCAATAAATATAGGTGAGCAAGTCTTTGATCCCGAGTGGCGCAGCGGTCTAAGGCACTACAGACCCTGGTTCGATTCCAGACTATATCACAATCCGGCCGTGATTGGGAGTCCCATAGCGCAGCGCACAATTGGCCCAGCGTCGTCCGGGTCTGGCCGGGGTAGGCCGTCATTGAAAATAAGAATTTGTTCTTAATTGACTTGCCTAGTTAAATAAAAAATGCATCTTTAGATTTTTTATTTTACTTGACTTAAAAAAAAACGTGTGACTTGACTTGTTCTTACAATGCAGGACTTGGACTTGACTCCAGATGCGACCAGTTCTATTTGTGACTGAACTTGAGACTTGGACCTTGTGACTTGAGACTTGCTTGTGACTCGAATAATAGTGACTCAGTCCCACCTCTGTAAATTAATCATACAGGTAACTGCCAAAATAAAGGAAACACCAACATAAAGCATCTTGATAGGGTGTTGGGCCACCCCATAATATCCCATAAGTGTTCAATTGGGTTGGGATCTGGTTGGTGGGTGGGTAACTGACTGACACCACCACAACTGAGATCTCTCCTAACCATGGTAGCCAAAATAATGGGCAACTGGCCATTTTTATACATGACCCTAAGCATGATGCTGCTAAATTAACTCAGGAACCACACCTGTGTGGAAGCACTGCTTAATTAACTCAGGAACCACACCTGTGTGGACGCACCTGCTTTCAATACACTTTGTATCCCTCATTTACTCAAGTGTTTCCATTAATTTGGCATATACCTGTATGTACCCTGACGCTTGAAGAATATAACTTATAAATGCCACATGAGCTTAGTTTAACTGTCATACCCCATCAGAACCCAAAATAGAAGCTTGTTTTAATCCAATGTTTGTGAACAAAGTACATGTAAAGACATTATATAGACATTATATAGACTCAACATGGTTACAAATATCATTTTGATCTCATGGATGGTCAGTCCTTGCATCCATAGCTACGTCGATGAATTTGAGAGTGTTTATATTTCTCCAGCCCCAGCCGTCAGCTTTGAAGAGGAACAGGGAAAACGCTAATTGCCGCTTTAAATTATACAGTACGTTTTAGAGTAGGTCTACTGTAGAGGTTTCAAAGCATTTTTGTAAGAAAAGCCCTTGCTACGAAATCCATTGAAAGAATAAGGCAATATCAAAAACAATATTTAGATGCTTGTGGTGCTTTAATCGCAAACATGGCCATTATCATTCTAAAAGAAAGCACAGCACACAGAGCGCCATCGCCACCAATGTATAGCACCCAGCCGGGGATTTGCACAGCAGGCATCACGCCAGCGTTTCCCCTTGATTGTTTTACACAGGCATAAAGGCTCTCCAAATCAGGGTTTAGGACCTCCTAAACCCAACATTTCAACTGAAACCATTCTAGGAGCCCATTTCTTGTAGGCAGAGGGGAACATAAGGGGGCAGATAATGCTACAATGAAGATCATGCATAGAACTGGAAAAGTCAGTGAAAATTAAAAAGTGATTCGCTTTTTAGAAATGATTAAGTATATTTTCATGAGCTGTATGAAAATAAAGGTTTTCCTTGCATTTCGTTGTCGTTGCACATCTCCGTTATGATGACACACACCTGTGACTGCGCCGAGACACATCAACACCATCAGGACCTCCAGAATCAGTTTAGTTCGGGGAGACAAGTTGAGCCGTGCCTCCGCCGTCGCATTCCGGACTGAAACCCGCATCTCATCCGGTAAAGGGGCACTTGGATCCAGCCATGCGCCATCTAGCTGATCCATAGCCTACCCTCTCCTTTTTTGGTGCAATGTAGCCTAGTTGATACTTTTTGTTGACACTGGTTGGAAATAGTTTTGGACGCCAAATATCCATAGGCTATTAATTCTACACAGGGTAAACGACATACATTTTAGTGATCATGTAAATACTTTTCATTATCCATTGTTTCCGCTCCTCTATCGGTCTAGTGTCTCCGCCGAACCGCTCAGTGGTTCATTCACCTGCGCAACGTTATTCTTGATCAAAGTTGGGCGTGGCGCACCGCACCTTTCGGTAGGCTACTGTGGGCTAATGTTCTTTCTGCCCTATTTGACAAATAACATGGTTTTGTAAAGAAAAACATAAATCAACCAAATGTGTGTGACAAAAAATTACTGAGTTCTTATGAAACAATTGTTTTATTTGTTTAAAATATGCATTATTTTCTCCAACAATTTCTCCACTCCAAAAAAAGCAATGTACAATTTAATACCACACAGAAGAAAAAAATAATAATACTGCCACACAGATAACGCTGACAAACGAGGAAAAACTGAGACTCGGGGAAAATCAAGTGTCTGCTGCTTTACCGGGAAAGCACTCGCAAACATGACCCTGTCCAAAGGACACGCAGCTAACGCATTGGAATATTCTAATGTAATATCTACCCAAGGCTAAAGCGGAAATAAAATACGATGGATCAGGAGATGGGTTGTAGACCTAATAACAAAATCACCACTTCTAAGACTAACATCCATTCTCTACATCTATGGCCCATCGGAGGGTTAAGGCTGCATTTTAATGGATAAAAGTAGGATAAAATGAATTTTAAAATCCTACAAACAGAAACTGTGACCTTATGTTCACAGCATATGGAAGAGGTAAGTAAGGTTTCTCCTTTGATGACTGACTCCTGCCTGAGATGGGACTTTGGCAATAACAATAAACTCTCTGGTAGGAACAGCATCTCAATAGTCTGAGGTCGCTTCCTCTCCTAGTCTCCTTTCCATGACCAGATCTCAGAGGCCTGAAGTAGGGTGAGGTTGGCCCTAGACACTGGGTTTCCATTGGGTCAGTGATCTCAGAGGCCTGAAGTAGGGTGAGGTTGGCCCTAGACACTGGGTTTCCATTGGGTCAGTGATCTCAGAGGCCTGAAGTAGGGTGAGGTTGGCCCTAGACACTGGGTTTCCATTGGGTCAGTGGCTCGCTTTCCCCTCAAATGGTTAAGGTTAGGACTTTGGGAGGGCATTCAAGCTGATCCTAGATCTGTGCCTAGGGGCAACTTCACCCCGCAGTTATCACAAAGCGGCTCCAGGTTCAGATGTCACCCAGGCAGCAGGGCCAGTAGCGGATGTACCCCCACACCAGCAGGGCGTTACAGAGAGGGGTCAGTCACCCCAGCAGATCCACTAGGTCTGGGGGGAAGTTGTCTGTAGGTACAGATATAGGATCAGCTTCCCCTGCCGCAATTCTAACCTTAACCATTAGTGGGGAAAGGCCCTGTGTAGCTCAGTTGGTACAGCATGGCGCTTGCAACGCCAGGGTTGTGGGTTCGATTCCCACGGGGGACCAGTACGAAAATGTATGCACTCACTCCTGGATAAGAGTGTCTGCTAAATGACTAAAATGTAAAGGGGCAACTTCACCCTCCTCTGCAGTGGGGCCAGTAGGGGGGAGTACTGGCGGGTGTACACCCACACTAGGGTCGTGTTCATTAGGGCACGCAACGGGAAACATTTCAAAACGTTTTGCAACAGAGTGAAAACGTTTGTTTCTTCTCGGACAAGTCCAGGTAGTCCCTTCCTGTTTCAGTCTGACTGCACCCCAGTAGGGGGGAGGTACTGGCGGGTGTACTCCCAAACCAGCAGGGCGGCGCTCACGTGTACGTTGAGGGAACGGATGACACCTCGCTGAGGGATCTCCACACACACGTCCAACAGCTGGAGCAGGTTAGCTGGGATACCCTCACGCTCATTACTGAAGGAGGAGGGAGGGAGGGAGGAGGAGGAGGGAGGAGGGAGGGAGGGAGGGGAATGAGAGAAAGAAAGAATAAATAAAAAGGTGAATAAATAGACAGGAGAAATATGGAACATGGTGCTAGGAGACGAGATAGGATGTTGGTCCATAGAAACAGAACGACTAGAACACTGGACATTCCCATTCAAGTCAACGTCATTCTATTTCTATAGTGTAAGGACGAAGTTCATTTAGATCCGCGTTAGATCCACCTTATAACGCGACTGACATTTAAAGGTAATTTCCAATTGAGCCGACATATGCAGTGGTTACCTACAATGTGGTCTCCGCAAATGGGGGAACATTGCCTTTAATAGGTGCATAGCTGAAAAGGGCCGATGCGGTTGAATTCTGGCCTTAGTCACTGATCTACAGAACATTTACCCTGGCCTGCTGTGAACAATATGACAGAGACAGATAGAGATAATATGGTTGTAATGGGTTAGATTAAACAAGGACCCTACTGTGCTGGAACACGCACAGCTGGAGTGTTCACTGACTAATGGCTGTGTGTGTGTTTGTGTGTGTGTTGACTGAGTGTAAAATATACTTTGCCTTGTTGTGTCCATTACAAATAGCAGCTCTCCTCCAGCCCTCTCTGCTTAAACAAGCCCTGTATGTTTGACCAAGCTCAACCACCCCACCCAGGAATGATCAACCTCCAATAACAGACTAACAGAGAGACGGTACACAGAGTAGAGAGAAAAACCATGTGTATTACTGAACGATGTGTGTCTATTGGTGAAACATCATTCTGTAGCTTGTGTGTATGTGTGTGTCAGTGAGACACGGCTGTAGTGTGTGTATGTGTGTGTCAGTGAGACACGGCTGTAGTGTGTGTGTGTGTGTGTGTGTGTCAGTGAGACACGGCTGTAGTGTGTGTGTGTGTGTGTGTGTCAGTGAGACACGGCTGTAGTGTGTGTGTGTGTGTGTGTGTGTGTCAGTGAGACACGGCTGTAGTGTGTGTGTGTGTGTGTCAGTGAGACACGGCTGTAGTGTGTGTGTGTATGTGTGTGTCAGTGAGACACGGCTGTAGTGTGTGTGTGTCAGTGAGACACGGCTGTAGTGTGTGTGTGTGTGTGTGTGTGTGTCAGTGAGACACGGCTGTAGTGTGTGTGTGTGTGTGTGTTTCCTGTTCTTCCCTCCACAGAGGACCCATTAGAGACCAGCATGTCTGGGCAGGTCTTCTCACTGCAGCAGGAAGCAGAGCTGTGTGTGTGTGTGTGTGTGTGTGTGTGTGTGTGTGTGTGTGTGTGTGTGTGTGTGTGTGAGTGTGCCTACCTGCTAGGGGCCCAGGGGAACACTCACTCAATTAGTGAGATTCCATTAAAGAGCTTTGTCAGCTTCCTCCATGACCCGTGAGATAGTCCCGGCCATGGCTGTGTATGTACATGTGTGTTTATATAGTAAAGTCAATGAATTGATGTGCAATAAGTATGTAATGCATTGATTGTTCATTTGTATGGTTTTACTGTTAGTGAACACAGGATAATTGCATTTCATGTCATGGCTTGGGTTGAAGCAGAAAATACTTATAATATGACAAAGTTATATACAACTGGACATGACAATGTACTCTGCTGTCATACAGGATAGTGAGCTTTATGCAGTGATGAAGCGTTGTGGTTTTACCCCAGCAGTAACAGAGTCTTCTCAGAGAACCTGTAGTCCTGTAGACTCTGGCTATTGGCTGTCTGCTCCACTCCCACAATGCAGTAGCCCTCTCTCTTCTTCAGCTGCAGGAAGTCAGCTAATTCTACTGGCTTCACCTGGTAGAGACACAAATATATGATGTTAAAGTTACACTTTTTAACTGAATAAAAAGTGAGCTGAACACAGTACGCCTTTTTCTCCCCAATTCTGTAATATCCACTTGGTAGTTACAGTCTTGTCCCATCGCTGCAACTCCCGCATGGACTCGGGAGAGGCGAAAAGTTTTGTTACCTACCTCCAGTAGGGGGAGCCATAGCTCAGAGGAGACACTCAGGGCCTGGAAGTGTTTATCACGGACGTGGTGAAGACTGCCCAACACCAGACCACTGGCCCCAAAAATCTCACACGTCCTACACAGACCTACACAGAGACAGAGAGCGAGAGAGAAAGTGTTTATCACTGACGTGGCAAAGACTGTCCAACACATACTACACTGAACAAAATAATAAACGCAACATGTAAAATGTTGGTCCCATGTTTCATGAGCAGAAATAAAAGATAGCAGAAATGTTCCATACGCACAAAAAAGCTTATTTCTCTTAAATGTTGTGCACAAATTTGTTTAAATCCCTGTTAGTGAGCATTTCTCCTTTGCCAAGATAATCCATCTATCTGACAGGTGTGGCATATCAAGAAGCTGATTAAACAGCATGATCATTACACAGGTGCACCTTGTGCTGGGGACAATAATAATAATAAATAATATGCCATTTAGCAGACGCTTTTATCCAAAGCGACTTACAGTCATGCGTGCATACATTTTTTGGTGTATGGGTGGTCCCGGGGATCGAACCCACTACCCTGGTGTTACAAGCGCCGTGCTCTACCAGCTGAGCTACAGAGGACCATAAAAGGACAATAAAAGGCCACTCTAAAATGTGCAGTTTTGTCACACAACACAATAACACAGATGTCTCAAGTTTTGAGGGAGCATGCAATTGGCATGCTGACTGCAGGAATGTCCACCAGAGCTGTTGCCAGATAATTGAATGTTAATTTCTCTACCATAAGCCACCTCCAACATAGTTTTTGAGAATTTGGCAGTATGTCCAACCGGCCTCACAACCGCAGACTACGTGTAACCACGCCAGCCCAGGACCTCCACATCCGGCTTCTTCACCTGCAGGATTGTTTGAGACCAGCCACCCGGACAGCTGAGGAAACTGTGGGTTTGCACAACCGAATAATTTCAGCACGAACTGTCAGAAACCGTCTCAGGGAAGCTCATCAGTATGCTCGTCGTCCTCACCAGGGTCTTGACCTGACTGCAGTTCGGCGTCGTAACCGACTTCAGTGGGCAAATGCTCATCTTCGATGACCACTGGCACGCTGGAGAAGTGTGCTCTTCACGGATTAATCATAGATTAAACTGTACCGGGCAGATGGCAGACAGCGTGTATGGCGTTGTGTGGGCAAGCAGTTTGCTGATGTCGACGTTGTGAACAGATTGCCCCATGGTAGCGGTGGGGTTATGGTATGGGCAGGCATAAAACTACGGACAACGAACACAATTGCATTTTATTGATGGCAATTTGAATGCACAGAGATACCGTGAAGAGATCTTGAGGCCCATTGTCGTGCCATTCATCCGTCGCCATCACCTCATGTTTCAGCATGATAATGCATGGGCCCCATGTCGCAAGGATCTGTACACAATTCCTGGAAGCTGAAAATGTCCCAGTTTTTCCATGGCCTGCATACTCACCAGACATGTCACCCATTGAGCATGTTTGGGATGCTCTGGATCGACGTGTTCGACAGGGTGTTCCAGTTCCCGCCAATATCTAGCAACTTTGCACAGCCATTGATGAGGAGTGGGACAACATTCCACAGGCCACAATCAACAGCCTGATCAATTCTATGTGAAGGAGATGTGTCATGCTGCATGAGGCAATTGGTGGTCACACCAGATACTGACTGGTTTTCTGATCCAAGCCTCTACCTTTTTTTTGTTGTTGTGACCAACAGATGCATATCTGTATTCCCAGTCATGTGAAATACATAGATTAGGGCCTAATGAATTTATTTCAATTGACTGGTTTCCTTACATGAACTGTCACTCAGTAAAATCTTTGAAATTGTTGTGTTTATATTTTTGTTCATTGTATATGGTAGATATGGTAAATCTACAGACCACTGGTCCCCAAAGATCTCACACGCCCTACACACACATGCACGTATGTACACATTAACAAACAATTACACAACCACTATTTACATGTTTCAGTTATTTGTATGCTACAGGTCTCAGGTGATATTTTCTTCAGACAAAGATTTTATTTTGTTATGCTCTAATGGCCCCAGTGCAGTCGGAATTCTGTTTTTCCTGTGTTTTGTATCAGCTGATGAAACTAAAAGTGTGAAAACATTTGATAGTTGCTGTTTGAAAATACAATCTACAAAGGACTTTCTAATCAACAGGTTTTGCATGGGTTGAGTTTCAGCTTAATTAGTTAATTGACCAATAACAAAAGAGTTTCCAAACCTCTCTGCCAATAACAGCTAGTTTTCGGTTTTCCCCTCCCCATTCAGACAACTCCCAGACAGTCCTATAAAAATCATTGCTTGAGATTTTTTTGTTGCTAAAAAGCTATTTTTGTCAGTTTTAATGGAAAACTATTCTATTACAGTAAGGTACTTAATTGTTAATTGTTATATAAAAATAGCTGCCTTGGGCCTTTAAACACTACTATGTACACAGCCATGCAGACAGACAAACATGCACACACACAGAAATATAGATCAAACAAAAACACAACAATGATTTACACAATCATTATTTAAATGTTTCAATTATTCATATGCTACAGGTATAGAGCCATCATTTCTTTACGTAAAAGAGCCCAGATCAGCACATAAAATACTGTAAAACTCATATTTTGTAGTGTGGTTTAACTTGTCAACCTTCTGTTAATGAAGTGCATTATAAGGAGATGATTATTTAACTAGAGGTTAATCAGCTTTGTGATTCTGTGGGATGCACAAGTTGCAGCCTTGGGAACTCACATTTAATCTATCTGTTTTGAATCTAACACCCTGTATAAAATATAATATTGTTGAAAATCCACCTTAAAAATATCCATCTTTACCCAAAGACCATGTGACTGCATTAAAGCCAATCACAGTCCACAGTTCACACCCATCTTAAAACTGAAGGTAAGTCTCAGAGGGAACGGCTACTTCACAGCAGTTCTCTTCTTTGTTGGTTTGTTTTGTTTGGACATTCTTTCGTTGTCTGTTAGGTGTGGAACTAACTGAGATTGGGAGAGGAAGCAAAATTCACAAGGTGACGTTTGGACAATAAAAAGGAAAACTGGCTAGACATTTCCTGTAGGAAGTGGATTACAACTGATACACAGTAGTGGATACCTTACAACACATACCAGAGGATATTTCTTTTTTCACGTTTTGAGGCTATACCGTGTTTGTTTACAATTACAATGTTTACAAAATGTTGCCATAAAACAAGCTTCTATTTTGGGTTCTGATGGGGTACGACAGTTGAACTAAGCTCATGAGGCATTTATATGTTATATTCTTCTAGGATCAATGGCGAAGCCTGAATATTACTGCTTTGTAAGTCCAAAATGGATGTAGCAACTGCAGATTGCCCCTTTGGAGTGAAAATGGCCACATCAAAAGATCAAGATGATGATGACTGTGAACCTAGCACTCCTGAACAGTCAAATCCTTTCCTACCCCAGTTGTCACGACTTGAAGAGCTCTCAAACGCCATTGAAAGGGAAGAACCTAGTGAAGAGGAAATGACACAGCGTTTAGCTGCACTTATTCACTCTATTGGTGATGAATTGCACCAGCATGAGTCACTACAACAGCACTTAATGATATATAGGCTTAACGTAATACAGACAAATATTAAGGACAAACTTACGGATGGTAGTAACTTCATCACTGGAACAATTAGCGAGTTATACAACAAGGCACTGGATACAGTAGGAACAATCATCACTAAACTGACCAAAGAGATTGGAGTCAAATATTCAGAGTCAAATATGTGTCTCCAAAAAGAGTTTGGCCTTAAAACCGATAGTCCAAAGGGATGTTTGAGTTGCAACCATATGAAGTGCTCAATGTCTTGGATTCAGGTTGAACCCTCCGTGTCTACAGAGGATGAGACCACTGTCTACACACTTGACTCTTCCGCAGCAGGGCATTATGAGTGCAGCTTATCAGGGCTGCGGTGGGTATGTGAGAGCAAAGTCAGCCTGCGATATCAGTTTAGCTCCTGGGAGCTTCACAGGACCACTCTGAAAAAAATGCGGTTGGAAGAAGGAGGTCCATTACTGGACATCACAATGATTTCTGGCAAACTAGAAGAAATTCATCTGCCACACTTTGTCTGTATAGAGCCAGACTACCCACAATCCTCCTTGAGAGAGGAAATGAAGGTTCTACATGTGAAAGACAACAGAGTGCTTGTGGAAGAGGTGGATGAGGTGACGTGGTTCCATGCCAAACTGCTTCATCCCTCTTTCTCTGGCAGGGGTTTGGTACTGAGACGTGGGTTGTGTTGGAGATTGCACTGTGACATTCTGATCTTTAGGTCCACCAGAGCATTGCTTACCTTACACACCTATCTGATCCAATGTGATCCTTCTCTAGCACGGGAGGTGGAGGCACAGGAGAAGTCATATGGATTCTTAAGACTTCCAAAGCCAAAGCCGGAGAAGTCTGTTCGGAAGGGGAGTCGCTTCACCCTCAAGACCTCGTGTCGATCCTCGATTACGCCTGAAGAGATGAAGCTGAGAAGCACCATGCCAAACTACTTTGAAGTGTACATAAAGGACGCTGCGATGGACTTTGAGATGGAGTTGATAAGTGAGAAGGGAGAATCTGTATGGAAAGCTGAAATACGAACAGATGAATACAGAGATGATACATCCACAAGAGACATTGAGTTTGTAGATGAATTCAGACCACAGCTCATTCAAAGAGTCAATAATGTGTCTGCCATAGCAGATATTCTCTTCACAAAGGGCATGATCAGTGAAGAGATCAATGCAAATATCAGCGCCGCGAAGACCCGCCAGGCCAAGATGAGAGTGATATATGAGGCACTGAATTCAGGTGGACCACAAGTGAAAGGTGCATTCTTTACTGCACTCAAAGAAAAGGAAACGTTTTTAGTGAAAGACTTGGATAAATAACACCTTATCGCTCAATCTCTAACACACCTCTACTAGACCATTCTTACTTTCTTAATACTTTATTTAGCATGCTCCCCCTCAGTCAAGCAGGACGGAGGCAAGAAGAGGTGTGATAAGGAGAACTATGAAAGAAGATACTTTTCAGGTGTCAAGAATAGCAGGCCAAGGCCCAGTTTTCTGT